GAACCTGCCACCTTAGGTGTACGTGGCTGGCGCCTTAGCTGGTTGAGCTATAGGCGCCGAGCCGAGAGCTTCATTCTTATCTACCCGTTTGGTGTTAGCTATGTGGACCTTAATCCCAGTAATTATGTGGACCTACATTGGCTTTCTCCTTTCTCACTCAACCAGTTTCCCCCTTGTACATATGCCTTCTTAGGTCAGAGGCTGAGTGCCCAAAAGAGCTGGTCACCATACTCTTGGGACTGAACCAGGCCAGAAGAAGGGTGGGGTAGGGCAGTTGAGCATGGAACACCTCCTGTGGCTTCTCAGGCTCACTGGGTCAGGTCTGCAGTGGGGCCCTGTCCCACTCAGCACCACCATTGTGGTTTCCTGTTTGCAGTGGCTGCACTTGGGCTGCCTGCCTCTCTGCCTCCCAGCCCCCACCAGTCTATGAGTGTGTGTGAGGGTGAGTGTTGGTGCTGCTTGGAAAATAACAGGAGGGGCTTGGGAACAGTCACCCTAGGGACCTCGGGGAGCTACTAAGGGAAGGGCAGGAGAGGCAAAGGCAAGCTGGAGGGGCCCTAAGAGGGAGGACCGAGGCAGAGAACAAAAGAACCCTCACAGCCCATCACAGACAGTTCAAGTTAGGGCAGGCACCAGGAGGTCTGTCCTCACTGTAGGATACCTCTTCCCAGTCTGCCATTGTGCCTGTGGTTCCAGCATATTGCCCCTAGTGTGCCTTTTTTTGGGTTCCTGGAGATGAACCCTGGCTGGATTTGATTCCTACATCTGCACTTATTAGTTCAGTGTTCCCAGGCAAATTGTTTCTCTTCTCCAAGCCTTGGTTTTCTCATCTGTGAAAGGCAGACAATGGAAAGGTTTCAAGGCACTTAAAGGGCCCAACACAGAGCCTGGTGTGCTACTCTGAAGGCTGAGGTGGGAAGATCTCTTGAGCCCAAGAGTTCAAGGCCAGCTTGGACAATATAGCAAGATTCTGTCTTTAAGAAATGAAAAAACTGGGCTCGGTGCCTGTAGCTCAAGTGGCTAAGGCGCCAGCCACATAAACCTAAGGTGGCAGGTTCGAATCCAGCCCGGGCCTGCCAAAAAACAATGATGGCTGCAACCAAAAAATAGCTGGGCGTTGTGGGGGGCGCCTGTGGTCCCAGCTACTTGGGAGGCAGAGGCAGGAGACTTACTTGAGCCCAGGAGTTGGAGGTTGCTGTGAGCTGTGATGCCACTGTACTCTACCCAGGGGGATAGCTTGAGGCTCTGTCTCAAACAAGAAAAAAAAGAAATGAAAAAATTGGGCCGTGCTTATGGCTCAGAGGGTAGAGTGCTAACACCCTATATTAAGGGTGGTGGGTACAAACCTGGTTCCAGCCAAACTGCCACAACAAAAAAAATAGCTGGGCGTTATTGGGGGGCACCTGTAGTCCCAGCTACTCGGGAGGCTGAGACAAGAGAATCACTTATGCCCAAAAGTTGGAGGTTGCTGTGAGCTGTAACACCACAGCATTCTACCAAGGGCGATAAAGTGAGACTCT